GTCCAGTTGTAAAAGAATTTCTAGATGGTTTTGTAAGACATTGTCATCGAAAAGACATTGTATTAAATCTAGATGGTAAAACTTTTATATTTGGAGATATAAGTAAAACAATATCATCAAAATCATTAAATATTTTGCTTATGTCAATGAAGCAATATATTTACAGAGTTCGTTGTCAGCACCTTAGCCTCTCTATCCATGGTTTTCTGAATGAATTCAAACTTATTTATAAAACTTTGAAATATACAGCCAGAGAAAGTGATAAAATAGATGAGTTTAACGCCTCCTGGCAAAAATGGCAATCCATACTCTCAGACTAATATCAATAAACCCTGTCTCAAAACTAGTTTTGCTACCTACTCTATCTATAACCCACTTTCTTTTATAACATCATCTCTTTCTCTTTCTTTCTCTTGCATTCTCTCTCTTTCTCTCTCTTTCCCCTCTCTCTCTCTCTCTCTCTAAAAATGAATGCTGCAATGAAATATTGTGTTCATCTCGTATGTTTGTACTGTAAAGCATTGTGGAATTCAAATAAAAAAAAAAAAAAAAAAAAAAACAAGTGATTAGTGTTGATAACCACTTGTCTGTGTTATAACCAGTGGTCAATGATGACAACAAGTGGCCACTGTGATAACCAATCATCACTGTGCAGTGTAATAACCCATGGTCAGTGTTGATAACCAGCAACCAGATATAGTGTTATAACCTATGGTCCAAGTGATAACCATTAAATACCTGTTGTGTGTTGTTTGGTGTGTAGGGCAGCATGGTTGACACATGGAACATGATTTCACTGTTGTTAAAGGTGGTGTAAACTGATTGTTGTCCTGTGGAATCGGCTGAAACATAAGATATATTTATTTATGAAAGTTTCCCAAATCAAGGGGTATCGAAACATGCCTAGTTACCAAATATGCACATCACATATATTTGTATGTCTTACTTTTATTATCAAGCTGAGCTCTGTACTTTTCGAAACCTTTTAGTCTGACTTTCTGTCCTATACAGCTTAAAAACTCCTCAAAGGCAGGCCCAGAGTGCTCTGTAAATCAAATGTATAGTGAATATCAGAGGACATATAAAGGGAACATCATTCAATTATCTTAAAATCAATAGAAACAAGCTAATTCAGAGAATTCGTGTCCCCCGCTTAGGGAAAAAGTCGGCTCCCCCTGACTGAATTTGTAGAATTATTAAATGTATACATGTATACTGAAGGAAATAAAATACATGTATGTCAATATGCATATAAAGATTTGATTGCTTATTCTTTATTATGTGTATAGAAGATTTTTTCATATGGAATATTTATCACACTGTAATGATGATTTTATAACCTCATAAATTTTTCATTTCACATGCTGAATACTATCATTTAGTAAAAAAAGTATTTAAACTAGAAACGATCTCGTTGCGAGCAACGAGAGGTCTTCCGTCCGTTTCAGGAAAAGAACCTAAAATCGAGCTGAAAAAGTGATAAAAAAATTTGGTCACAAAGGGGATTTAACCCAGGTGGCCAGTGTGAAAATCCGACACGCTTTTTTCCTCTTTATTCCCAACACGCTTAAATTATGCGTTTGAGTCCACTGCTCTAAATGTACTTGAACATACTTCTTCAACAATACACCTGTCTAAGAATCACGAAAGGCGCGCCACAATTTATAATTTCGCGCCAAACGCCACAAGTTAATCTGCGCGCCTTTTCTTTTGAATGTTTCATTAAATAGGTGTGATAGCTTCAATAGAATAAAGAAACAGGAACGTTCTTTAAGCCTAAATTTCGAGGTTTAGAAAATATATTTAACAGATTGTACATATTCTTTATCTTATATAGGTAAGTAACACAAAAGAAGTGAAATGGTAATCATTTCTAACCTTTTTTTAAATAACCCGTTTATCCCCAAAGTGAACTTACCCGATTCTTTACACCTTCATGAAAAGGTAGAAATGGTTCGATGAAAGACATGTCTCGCCATTCGACGGTCAAGGAATCAGATTTCATTAATGTTCAATGTTCAACTTTAAATATCTTTGAGAAAAGATTGTTAATATAAACTCCATTAGACGATCTTATTTAAAAAAGTTTTCTTATTTCTGTCTTTTGTATTAGTTTTATATGACTCAAGTGTGCATGGGAAACACAGTGGTTACGTTTGTGAAAAACTAATAAATTTTGAATACTGCTCTAAATATAGTTATGTATACAGTACACCTGCAACAGTACACCTGTCTAAGAATCATAAAAGGCGGGTCACTATTCATAATCTGGCGAAAAACACCTAGAGTAAATATTCGTGCCTATTCTTTGGACTGATCTATCAAAAAGGTGTGATAGCTTCAATGAAATTAAATTGTAAATTAAACAACTTCTTATCGCCTTTATTTTATTTCAACGCTAAGAAAGTAAACTTTTAACACATTGCACACACGTATCTAGCCCAATTACACTAAAGCAGTAAAACGGAAATTAAGTTTTAAGATTGTCACTGAATTGCAGCGTACTAATAGGTGAAAGTCCATGTAGTTTTTTTACTTTTCATGTATCATTTAGTCAAACGCTTAGCTAACTCCATAAACCCCTACTCGCGAAATGGCGGAGTTGACAGAGGCAGACGCCATCTTGGACCCGCTTCAGATTTTCAAATATTAATATCTTGAGTTCGGATTAACCAATATTCAAAAAACTTATATAGTAATCATCAATAGAAGGGTTTCTATTAATATTCCAAAAATAAATAAAAAATATTGAAAAACAAAAAAGTTAGAAAATACGATTTTTTTAATTCGCTTCTCCTTACGACAAGAAGTATTGACGACGAACGAAAGGTCGCGTCCTGGATGGTATATATCACGATCTATAATCCCTGAAAGTTTCATGTTGATATCTTTTACCGTTTTTGAGTTTAATCGCGGACAAAATGTCATTTTAATTTCAGGAAATTGTCCGTAACTTGGCACCGGAAGTGAGTTTCCAAATTTTCTCTCGGATATAATAAATTCATGTTACAACACATCTGTCCTGAAAATTTCACGTAATTCCATCCAGTAGTATTCGAGAAATCGCCTGCACAAAATTAGAAAGTCAAAAAAATAAGAAAAATAATAATAATAAGAAACAATAGAATCACTATAAGGTCTTCCGTGAAGACGGAAGACCTTAAAAAAAGAAAAGAAAAAAAAGAACGAGGCAACCGAGACTCGATCCCTGGCCCTCTCACATTTGAAGCGAGAGACATAACCACTAGACCATGGAGTCGCTTTACTTGGAGTGAGGTATATGCAGAACTGAAGTCACATACATGTATATAATTCATGTTTTCATGTTCGGTATTCTCAAAATTTTACACAATCCATGGTGTTTGATTTATTTAGCCTTTATTAAACAGTTCTAATAGATGTAGTAAGAACATAAAGTCCGCCGAGAACCTGTTTTATACGCAATAACTCTCCTCATGCTCCTGCGCTAAAAATAGCGACATGTAATACTATAAATACTAATAAAACAAACGGGGCGGGGCACTTTGAGAGGGGCGAGAGACGTCCTAGGGAGTTTTGGTATAAAATTACATTGCATAAGCTCAAAATCTTCCTGAAATATCGCCCGGAAATGATAGTGTTACACACAGACAGAATGTATAAATTTACGACCTTGAATTATTAAATGTATACATGTATACTGAAGGAAATAAAATACATGTATGAACTTTGACCTTTTGACCTCAAAATCAATAGGGGTCTTCTTTAGGCCACAGGGAGTTGTTATGTACAATTTCATTGCAATAGCTCAAATGGTTCTAGAGATATCGTGTGGAAACGAAAGTGTTTTAACAGACAGAATTTGCTTATTTATGACCTTGACCTTTGACCTTTTGACCTCAAAATCAATAGGGGTCTTCTTTAGTCCATAGGGAGTTGCTATGCTAAATTTCATTGCAAAAGCTCAAAGGGTTCTTGAGATATCGTGTGGAAACGAAAGCGTTACAGACAGACAGACAGAAAGACGGACGGACGGACGGACGGACAAACCCAAATTAATATCCCCCACTTTTCAAGCGGGGGACAATTAGAATGCAAATTTCTTACTTTAAATCTACAATGTATATGATTTAAAACTTGATTTTCTTTGAAAAGTGAAAGTAAATAATATGAAAAAAATTTCCCCGCATTTTTGTTATGTAACGACTTCAGCTTCAATTAAATCATAGCATATTAAAGATTCTCAGAAGGGAGCTAATTCTACCAATCCTGGCAGAAAGCAGACTCTTCTTACAACTGCTGTGCTGTCAATGACTATACAATTACCTCAATTAACTGATAAAAACCCTCAAAAAGATCTTTAGGATAAAAAGCTTATTAAATACAAGGGCAGGGATTGGATAGGAATTTCACAGTCTTCCCATGATTCATTTATCATCAGAGGAATTTGATTGTAAGACATTCAAAAACAAAGAATAACTGAATCATTCTAAAAATGTAGCAAATTTAGAAGTGATGTGATTATGTAATATTATCTTGAAAGATAACTGTTTCTTACAGGATGCTTTATGCAAGAATTTTTCATGAAGAATACATAATCAACATCATCAGTTGGAATTCAGCCAGCTAAAGCACAGAGAAACTTCTGGTAGAAAGAAAATATCTTTTCAGAACTAGGAATTTTATAGAATCTGTCTTGAAAAGCACAGGAATCTGACCCTCTAGTCACGCCTGAATCAATTAATGATATTTTTTCTCTTTCTACCAAGAACTGAACCTGGTGATTGAAAAGGAAATTATGGGAAAATATCAAGTAGTGTGCATCTTTCAGTCTTATCTAAAACTTGATATTTAGTAACAAATCTCATTTATTCTGTTCTGATTGGGGTGTTCAAGAATTCACAACCACTGAGTATCCCTCAACTTCCCAGCTCTTATCACCTGTATTTTTGAGATTTTCAGTTTTTAGGCACATAATAGACCATGAAAAGCAGATCTTTTTTTTTTGTTAGAAAACAATATTTGAAAAAATAAGTTACAAAAAATGCAATGTGTATCAATTTCCTCTCTAATGAAACAATTTGGTTTGCTGATACATGCTTTATACCACAATTCACAGATGACATATAAAAATCTTTGTCAATGATATGAATTGATGTGCACTAATTGTAACGAACCAAGTCAACTTCTAGTCAAAGCTTATTTGAGAAAAAAACTCAATAATAACATTCAAAATAAATTTGCTGAAGGGTCTGGACATAAACATTGTTTTCAAAATGAGAGCACTTTAAATCAATTAGTTTGATCCTGTATTTTAGCTTTTTATCTGCTAACATATCAGGGTGTAATCATTACTGATTATTTGTAGAATTCCCCCTGGCAATAAGGACAGCCCACAACTTGACAAACGATGGTGATTTTATGCTTCATTGAGTAGGCATCATGAACAGTATTATATTACACTGCCTTGCCAATGAAAATTGAGTAAAATTCAATTTCAGAGAAATTCAAACTAAACACAGTCTGTCATATGATATTAATTCAAGCCACTTCCAAATTACAGGGTTTATGGCACAAAAGTTTATACAGTACAAAAATAATGTTTATGAGTCAAATTTTCATTCTTTTTCTCCTAACACCTGCTCCTGTGCCAGTATTCAGTTAGAAAGCTGCAGTCTATTGTTTGCCAGATGGCGGGGCCAAAGACAAAGGAAGGGGAAAACACAGAAATCTCCAGAGGTCAGCGGTCTCAATCACTCAATCTAATTAAGAACTGAGGCCCACATCAACAATCTAATAATGGGCAAGAAATGTGTCAAGTTATATGTACAGTACATCCCAGAACTGCTGGGACTTCCTGGAGATATGGATAATTTGCTTTATTCTGCAATATGGCCAGGAGAATGGTTGTGCGCTTAACATTTAGTAAATTACAATGGGTGCGTTCACAGTTCTGCCATTGGTAGACAAAAGTTGCCGTTGGTAAAATTAATTACCATTGGTATGCCACTGGTACCAATGTTTTTTGCCAATGGTATATTTTTCTGCAGACACTCTAGAGTGTGGTTAATGTTGGTAAATGACGTCACAGCTAGTTATCGACATGGCAACAAGCTAGAGAGACATGGATCCTGGATTCACAATGATATAAACCATTTTTCCTCTAAGCCTTTTTAACAAATCATGCCAAAATCACATAAAAATCATATCAAACACTTTAATTCATGATTTTGAAGTATGATTTAGACATGATCCATTAAATGGATTATATAAAACTCATAGATATGGCAACTAAAGAAGTATGATCCTGATGTGGTTTTTTTCTCGGCTATGAGTCTGCTATGATTTTCTTGCGATTTTGGCATGTGCCAATAACTTAGAAGACAAAGAAATCTGTAATTCAGTATTACCAACATTTCCATTGGACTCCTATTGGTAACATTGGTAAAATCGGTACATTTGTATGCCAATATCCGTTCAGGGTTTATTGGTACAGTTGGTACCATTGTCAAATTATTGCACCAATGGTATATTGAAAGTTGGTACTAATGGTAGAACTGTGAACGCACCCAATATATCATATGAAGATCTGAAATCAGTAATATAGACATTCATCTTGTGTACCAAGTCTTCATGAAACTGGACCAGAACTATTGGAGTAAATTTTTTTATTGAATTTCACAGAAATTTTTATTTTTAGTAAAAATTGCAAAAATAATTGCCAAAATCAAAAACCAAAAAACATAAAATTGAGAATCTTAGAAAAATCTTCTTGTGCACCCAGACTAGTTGAATTTGGATTGAAACTGTAGGATGAGTAGCATATTAAAACATTTGTTTCTGGACAGCTAGACAGATGGAAGAATAAGCAGTTGAGTTCTGAACAGTAAAGGTTAAGATTGACAAAGTGTACATTACCATTATTATACATATCTTCTTCTGATGACTGCCCGGCCTTACAGTACATGATTCCTACTTTGTAGGTCTGATTCACCTGAAATCAATCAGTTTGCTACTGTTACAAATCAGTTTACAGATTAACACATGTAGTAACAAACAAGAGCCATTTAATTGAAATAAATATCAGCAATAATAATATAATACCCATTTACTTCACTCTTATGGAACTTTATGTATTTCACTCAACATTTTTCCTTTAATATATCGCTCAATGCTTGTACATATTGTTTGAGAACTGTGAATATTTGTACACTGTACAGTGTATGTCTAACTTTCCTTTGGCCGTTTGATACATACCCCCTGTTGGTCAACTTTAAGGAGTTGGTCCAGGGATTTTTGACTGGAAGAGGCCAACTTAAGACATGAAGTCTGGAGATCGGGACATATGTAATCAATGACATCTTTGACGGTGGTTGTTTTCGATCCCCCCAGTCGGCTAGCTGAGGTTGGGATAGCCTCCTCCAAAATAACACCTCGTAGTGTGGTAAGCTGCAAAACATACATCAAAAATTACTCAGGACTTTTCAATTCTTATTTACCAATTGCAATACGATTACCGGTGTATGTTATAGATACAATCATTGGTCCCATTTATCATTTGAATAATCTTCTTCTTACTTCACTAGTTCGGACAACGACTCTGAACTGGTTGGAGCCATAATCTGCCCGTCCAAGGTTGTTTTCTCTATCATCTACTTTCTCTTTCCTAATACTGATGGCAACGGGACCCACGTTATCATCAATACCAAAGTAGTTCTGGTGGTCTATAAAAACAAGAAAAAAAAAACACTGTCAGCTTATCAAATGAAAATTACATAATAAAGGACATAATCAAATTTCAAAAAAGAGGGTGAAAGATAATCAGATGAAAGTTAGTATTACTCCTATGTTCTTAAACAGCAGGACCTGAAAATGCACATTCTAAGGCTTCCAAGTCTTATAATAGTGCATTATGTAATATATCAAAGTGATTTTAAAGTACATACTTAGACTTTGTACAGTATTTAAATCAAACTTTAAGGTAATTTCTTTTTGGCACATTTTATTTGTTCTACCAAATCTTAGAAAATGTGGTTTGCCGTCATTGTCCAAATATATGGGTACATTCATGAATAAACATGACACAAGCATTAACACAATACCCATTACAAGACATTCATAGCTCAGTTGGGGACACTTGAGAGCTCTCAATGAATGGCACCCCCAACCCAGGGATAGTCTAGGGTCAGAGATTAGGATTAATGTGATAATGTGCTGTAACTTCATTCTATGATTGTGGTCGACTTTTACCTCTATCCTCTACAAATCAGCTAAAAGCACTGATCAGGGGGTCATTCAATGATAAAAAAAATACATCTTCTTACATTGATTTTAATCCCTTCCTTTTTAAAGGGAATTTTTTAGTCTCCAAGATTTAGAAAATTGTCTGCTTGACACGACATGGAGGTTTAATGCCTTTATGTCATAGGCAGTATTGTATTACTCTACTGGAAACTACTTGTATAGCAATCACCAACCTACCTGTCAATATGATCAAGGTTAATGGTTTTTTCATGAATGAAAAAAAAAAAGTCACATCATCTTCAAAGAGAATTTTACATGTAGAAATCTTAATTGAAATAGCATTCCACAAAATCTATGATGAGAACAAGAGGGTTAATCAAATAAAGAAAACATTGAATTATTATCTCAAAAGTAGACAAGGAACCTTAAATATAGATCTAAGAAAGAAAAAAATAACTAGCTCAATTTTCTTCTGCTAAAATGTTAACCTTAGTTTCAACCTCATAAACTGCATGTTAACCTACCACAGTAGGCCTGACTAAGGGAGTATATCATGTACATAACTTCTATTGGATCTGCTAATAAAATACACTTAACATTCCGCGATGTGTCCAGTGTTTATTGCTTACATTCTGCAGATTGCAGGGTATTGGGTTTTAAATTCTTTTTCAATAGACCTCTGTTCACATATATTTTAACACCCAGAATGAGGGAAAAGGGAGAAAATACATTTATTTGTAGACTTAATGATGGGATGGTTCGGGGTTTACATAGAGGATAAAGATTTTCAGGAAAGCCTAGGGCAAGAGGAAAAATCCAAAGATTTAAGGAATGGGAGGTTATGTGAGAACACCTGGGATAAGGGTATCTTATTTCCTACTAATACCTTAAAGATTCTGAACAGAAGGACCTCACAAAAACTCATGAATTGAACATCAATTTAACTAACCTGAGGATATTACACACTATAATATTGATGGCTCGTAGTACATTGTTTAAATGAATGATCATCTGGGTTGATTCTTTGACAATGTTATTACTTTTGTGGTTAACATGTTTTCCCCTATTTTTGATTGATCACAACAAGAGATACACATGTTCATGCCCTCCAGATCAAATGATAAGGGCATGAGGGCGCAGTTTTTGTGTTTCAATTATTTCAGCTGATTGACTTATTAAATTACCTTTTATCTAAAAAAAAAAACAATTATATAACAGATATTTTTAGTGTATACAATATACAGTATAGTCACAGTTTTGGAAAACAGTTCAGTCATTACTGGTCTCGTCCAGCTCCCAGTTTATTTCTTTCTCTCAGTCCATTGTACTGAATCTCAGATAAATGACATTTTTTCATTTAAAGAGAAAGACACATAAAAAGGCCTGAATAATCCCCTCTGTGAATCGAGTAGCAGATGTCACATTCCTGACATACTTTGTACCTGGCTATTGATTTACATGGAGAAACCACTACTGCACTTGTAAAAGTGCTGCAAACAAGTCTCATTTCAATGAATATTTCTATTAACAAGGCAAACTGTCATAAAGAACCAAATCTCTAAAATATAAAACTAACTTGAAATATATAAATGATTTATATGAATGACCTTGACCTTTAGATGCACTGCAGTGAGACTGTTACTAATTTTATATCAGCAGGTGCCCTGACAGCTTGTTGGCCCCTCCCCGATCAACTCCTCCTAAGATCCTTATAAACAGGTGATACTACTACAGAGGCAGTGTTTACTTAAAAAACACAGAGCTCAGTCTGAGCCGGGGATTCCATAACAACTGTTTGTATACCTTAGTCATCCAAATTACTCAAGACCTACAGCAGAGGGCAAAATGTTTCAAAATATATCTGTTTGGGTTGCAATTCCTTGCCACTAATTTGCTGAGAGATGTTTCTTCCAACACCACTTAAATCTTACATGTAAAAGTAATGGTATATATGCATTATTGTGTAAATATTTAGTGAATGCTATCTCCATGTCTATCAAACCACATGGTATTTAATGACACCAGGGGCTTGTAGCTACCACATTTTATGAATGAAATAAATGCACAGGTGAGAGACATTATATCTACCTAGTTAACTAACTAGTCAAACTGGGCGTGATGTGTGGCTTCCATTACTGAACATAGATGTCTTCTATGGAGACATAAAAAGGCTCCCAATTACTTTGTTCAACACTGCTTTACAGCAATTCCATGACATTTTTATGATGAGCTACACTTTACACATGTCAACTACATGTGTATACATATACAAGGCTACTGAATGTGTGGAATCTGATGGATGCTAATTAGCCTGCATATCTTCACAAAATAGACATCATATAGAATACTTAATAAGAAAATATATCTGAACCTAAATGTCAGTTGTTTAGATGTCTGACAATAGTGTATGATCATGATGATAGTCTTGTTTTTGATACTTACCATATCCATAGAAGAAATGTCGATAGTAGCTGGCCCCATGGTCCACATACTCAATGACGTGGCCCCGGTGTAGCACCACATGAGGGAGGATAAGTCCCGTGGGAGTCGGAAGAGAGTCTAATATAGACAAACCACAACATGCCGGGGATCTTGTGGACGTTACTGCACTAGTCCCTGTAGGGAGAGTATTATTATTGGTTTGGTTTGACGATTTGCCTGTCACATTTCGTCCTAAACTTATAGTTCTTTCCTCTTCACCACCAAGTTCATTTCTGAAAAATGGACATGATAAAACAAGAGCATTTGATTTTCCGTCCCCCTCGTCCGTATCAGTAGATATGTCTGGGGTGTCCCTCTCCCCAGCCATACTACTTCTCACTTGTCCAGACGCTGCAGAAGCACCTGTTGAGGTGTTTTTGGACACATTTGAGTCTGACCTTTTATTAATCACTGCTTGTATGTCAAAGCCCAAGCTCTGACAATCATAGTGAACAAATGACTTTTTCCTTAGTCTCTCCTCTCCTATTTCAGAGTTTATTGAGTCTGTCATTTTTGTACCAATTTCACCTTCTTGCTTCCCTCGGAATTTGTTTAGAATGTTGCCTGTTCTTGAGTCGTTGGTTATGGATTTTGATCTGGTTTTCCGCTCTTTTCCACCTTTTACTTTCATGCTCTTTGAACGAGGACTTCCGTCCACTTCCTCTGCACCTCCCCTTTCTGGTGCGGTGGGACCGTTAGAGAATTTGTCACTCCTAGCACCTATCCTCTCCCGATTACTGTCTATCCTACCCCTCAGGAACTCCTGCATCTGAGCAGGTGCGGGGCTTCTCTGATCCAAGTTTCTATGTCCCAGGTCCTTGACCATCGCAAAAAAACTTGTGTCACCACTTGTACTTAGTACATCCAATGACGAAGTGCTTCCATAGTCTCTCCTCATGGAGCTATTATGAAAATCAGCAGCATCGTCAAAGTCTATGCTGTCCATTTCTAAGTTGCTATTACTTCTACTCAAACCCTGACTATTACTTTTGTAACTAGATTTTGATTCTGGAGACTTGGATTTTTCTTTTGATCGAGATTTTGCAGACTTCCATTTAGAGGAATGAGTTCCATGAAATGTTGCCCTTTGACCCCCTCGGGTAAAACTGTCATTATGTTTTACGGTGTTGTTTGATGTTCCTGAGGAATCTTGAAATGTCACACCTCCTTTGGTTCCCCTGTTTTGGTCTGTGTTGCCATTGTGGGATGTATAAATTCCATTAATATTTTCCACAGAATCATAACCTTCGGTTTTCATTGGTGAGCCCCTTCCCTGATAAGCTGGAACCACACAGTTTTTGTAATAATCAACAGCCCTCTCAGACCGCTTTCTTATAGTTTCCAAAGGAACACGCTCAGAATTGGCCATATTAATATCCAAAACACATCAATCCTGATAAATAAAATATTCACGCATTTCTTTATAATCACACATAAAAATAGTATTCCCTACTAAAAATGAACATTTCACAGTTGCTTCCTTTCCATTGAAGAATCCAACAGAAAAAGAAAAGGCTGTTCATCAAATATTTATCATACCATTAACAAGTCAATTCACCACTCAAATCCATAATATCACAGATAAAAACTATCTGACAGAATCTTCGAAGTACAGTCCATGTGCCTCAAAAATTCCATTAAATTAGAATTCTATATTATTTAAATCCTTCCTTTATCAACTCACTATCTCACAATGAAGCACTGACGTCTGGAATTCTACTTCTCATACTAAGAGTTCATTCCCATTCCAATCTGCTCTTGTTTTGGAGCGTGCAACATGTGTTTTGAGAAAGATTTTTTTTTTACATAGATTAAAATAAACGCCTGTATTCCATCATGGGGGAGCACAACTGACTTCCACTTCCTGGAACTTTCACTCTCCTCCAGCGATACCCTCCCTGACATGTGTACAGCCGGGCCTGTGGTTCCCCTCCGATGATGAGGTCCCTCGTCTCCAGCTGACTCCCATACTGTTCTCCTCTCCTTCTGTCAATCAAACCTCTGGTAGTGGTCAATACTTATCTTCTGATGTTAGAAATAAGATAGCTGACTAAAATCTGAAAATATACCAAAAAAAATATTGAATTCTTTTCCTTAAAATACCATATCTAAGACAGTGCTCATCAGATCTATATTGTTCTGCATCTGAATATGTTAGATTTGATGATCTACCTGAACAACTGAAATGCCAACATCACATGATCTCCAGTGCAGTGGAACACACAATCAATATTTACTTCCATTACACTGAATCAAAAGCACAGGCATTTGTATAATGAAAAAAAAAACATAAAAATCTAGGTAGATACCAGTAAATATACTGGTACTGGATATAGGATCTTCCATGCGTTGTGATCTGATACAATTTGTATCTGTTGCATGGTTTCTGTTCTCCAGCCTTTGGTTAGGGAACAGAAAACACTCAAGTGGATAAAAATCATTACCAGTATATCAAATCACAAACAATGGGGGATTATTTTTATCACATTTTTATGCCTTCGTAATCAAAGATTCTGGGGTACATATATGGAGTTTGCCCTGTCTGTCCATCTGTCTGTCTGCAAAAACTAACTGCCCATAACTTTTGAGTGGGTGGGGATATGGCTTTCATATTTCACAGACCAGAGAGCTACAGTGCCACCCGTTTCAAAAATTTTTCATGTTTATACACGTACATGCAAATTTTTATAACAATCTCAACCAACAATTAAAATCAATTTTATGACAGTTCACTTAGGCAGTATAATTCTATCATATTAGGGATTTATGAGAAGTATTTATGAAATGCTTAAATATTTCCGTTTTTATTTCAAATTTCATATTAATGATTTAATGACTGACTACATTTTACTAGTACATGTACATGTATTTATAGATATATCTACCTAATATGTAATGATGCAAACTCTAGTTGTTTTCTTTTTATTTTGTCATACAATATGGATAAGACTAATTTAAAAGTGATATTTTCAGGACATTTAGCATTTACATTTTTTTTCCTTAAAAAATAGATTCAAGGTATTTTGTACAATAATCAAAACAAACATTAATTATAATACTGTATTTTTTTGCAAATATGAAATTTGACCCCCATGAAAATATGTATCATTTACAATATTGTATAATTCTTCTTGTAAGAGCCCCCAAATACGATTGCATTTTGTGTATCGTTCCAAGCAAACTCAACAGAGTGAAGATGTGCATTTCATACACATGCATTCCTGTTATGATATAATAAATGCTCAATTCACAAAGTTTACCAGGAATGGTGAAAAAATAGCTCCAAATGATAAAAAGTTAGAGTAGCCAGGCCTGTAGGAAGCAATTTCAGTTTGGAAAGGGGGGGTTGGGGGTTGGGGGGGTTGCCATGCATTTTTCTTTGGGAGATTAATATTAACTACCAAAAATTCCTTGACAAGCAAAAAAAAACTAGAACTGTCCAATCGGGACAAAATACCCCCCGCTGGGTTTTTCAGAAGTAAGTTTTTGTATAATAAAGATATGTATCAAACACGAATTATAAAATTTTTCTTCCAGTGACCTTGAACTTCCCCAAATGACCTTGGGTCAAGGTCATGACACACCCTTGGGTCATGGGCAATCTTTGAGTGAAATAAGAACCTACCAAGTTTATCAATAAGAAAGATATAGACCGGACACGAATTATGAAATTTTTCTTCCAGTAACCTTGAACTTCCACAAATGACCTTGGGTCAAGGTCATGACACACCCTTGGGTCATGGGCAATCTTTGTGTGAAATGAGAACCTACCAAGCTTATCCATAAAAGATATGTGTCAAACATGAATTTTGAAATTTTTCTCCCAGTGACCTTGAACTTCCCCAAATGACCTTGGGTCAAGGTCATGACACACCCTTGGGTCATGGGCAATCTTTGTGTGAAATGAGAACCTACCAAGTTTATCCATAAGAAAGATATGGACCGGACACGAATTATGAAATTTTTCTTCCAGTGACCTTGAACTTCCCCAAATGACCTTGGGTCAAGGTCATGACACACCCTTAGGTTATGAGCAATCTTAATGTGGAGTAGTAGATTCTAATGTCTCTCTGTAAGAAAGATATGGACCGGATACGATTGCACAGACAGAACGACAGACGGAAATGATTCCTATATACCCCCCCAAACTTCGTTTGCGGGGGGTATAAAAAAACATCAGATATTTTCAGTGAGGAAGTAACCCCCCCCCCCACACACACACACCCAATGCCCCATTGGTTCCTATAGCCTTAAGTAATTGTATAAATATAGTACCCTTTAAGCGGAAATTTTAGCGCGAGACAAATTTAACGATTTATCCTTAAAAATTTGTATTTTATTTTAAGCAAGATGTAGTTTTAGTGATTTAAAAATGCTCTCTAAAGAAGCTACAAAAAATAGAACACAATTACTTTTTAGTGATATTCAAATTTTATTTAGTGATCATAGCACCCTAGATAATAATGCAAAATTAAATCCTAACAAAAATTCTGCTTATATGGTATAAAGAACATTGGTACTGTGTAAATAATCACATACCTAAATATATCCCTGAAAATCACAGGCTGTCGCACAAATCATGACAATCAAATACACTGCGCGCAATATGAATAATTCATTTCCAGTTGGAACGTTAAATAAATTTATTTAATGTGATTTTACACCACTCGTAAGAATGTCCTGGGAGATGACCATAGATCCTGATACACATCAGCGATCAGTCAACTTCACATTCTGTCATTACAGGGCCACAATGGGGGGTCAATCAGGACAATCCACTACAAATCGTTTCAATTGACATGACAATGATTTTTTTTAACTTTGTATAGAAACCATGAAAATTTAATATCATACTTATGACATTGCATATTTATAACTAGACACAAGAGCTTCACAAGTAACATGACAGGAAATGGACAGTACCTAGAAAGTTAGAGGCCTGGGTGAATCTACTTAAGACAGCAAATTAAACTTAATAATACATGTGAACCAAAGTGGACAGATTATCACCTCTTCCCTTGTCCTTAGAAAGCACCATAAACCCCCAATAAAACCAACACATCAGCTTCAACACCAAGAGGTATTAACACATCTACATTATACCACCCCTAGCCCTCACACAAAACTTGATGAAAAGAAAACCTACATGGCTTTTCAGCATTGTGCTTTAACACAGTGGGTCTATTCTTTCCCTGCTTGATTATATTGATATTGACACATCAGTGATAAGGATCAAACAATTTCTGTAGGAATGTGGATCAGACTCACCCTATACAAGCTGATAACAATGCCTGTTCCCAAACAATGACCCCAGTCAATGTTAGAGTGAAAACCCTTTGAAGGGCTCTATAAAATCACTCAATAGGATTTAATTGCCTCTCCATTTATATACTACATTACATGTATAAATGAAAAGGGAGTTATATAGTTTTCAAAATGTATATCTTGTTCATAAAATGATACACAGTTCTTTGCTCATGCAGCTGCTGAAGAAAGCGACAGATAAGATTTTATTGTAAACATGGTAAATGTGACCCCCCAAAGAAAGTATATACAAATTATTAAACTAGGTAAAAACTTGTTATACTGATCAAGCCTATCAGTGCCATATATGTCTAATGACTAAATTAGCAAAGCTTATTAAGACCTAGACACAGAATGCGTTTACTTGGATTGTTTTGACAGTCTGTAATTAATTCATGTCGTGGTTCTTGTCTTGACTTCAGTAAATGGACACTGTGACCCAGGCATTTAGTCCACACACAACTGTTGAATATTTATACACACAGAAATGATAAAAATCTATGAAATCCCCAACTGTCAACCCTAAAACAAACAAATTGGCTAATATCGCCAGTGAGTGTTTTGATCAGGAAAGCTCTGATTGACCCCCTGATGAATTTACGATCACCCAGACTAGTAATGATGGGGGCCCTTAGGGTTAAGAAATTGATCAGGTCATGTCATAATATTGCTATCTTACATTAGACATCTCCATACTCACACCAGAATTGTCTGTTGGTTACATATAAATACTTCACACCCCTAGTCTGTGTTACACACTCAGAAGGGAAAACAAACAAATGTATATATCAGATCTCATCACAATGTACAGAAACATTAGATCAGGCTAAATATAAATATATGAAATCTAAATCTTCCATTACAAAGCATACACCTTACTAACCTTAGTAAGCTAGCTTTCTTTTAGGCTCCTTTGTAGAACAGCTCTGTACAAACTTCTTTTGACATTCAGCTATCCTGTAAAAGATATAATGACAGTTGTATACACAGATTTAGAACATTAATTCGGTTTGAATTGAGATTGAACATGTGGCCTCACTATCACTACATGCTGAGAGAGAGGGGAGCTCAGCTGTCTCTTTCCTCCCTCTAATCACAACATGAAGCATCAAAGATAAATCTCACCCCATGACAAATACAAAAATCCACTTTATAAATCCCTACCATGAACACAGTAAAGTTGCTAATGCTAAAAAGAAATTTTTCACATCCTTTTAAATGCAGGGTTAATGTATTGTTAATGCACTGTTAGTGTATGCAAAGAAAGCTATAGCATTCCAACATCTGTCACCTAACCTTAAACACAGTGAACTGCAAGGGTCAAGATATCTTTAGCCAGAGATTGAATCAATTTAAATCAATGATTACTTCACCTTCTGTTTTTATACTTACCAACTAAATTTTCAAAAGAATAAAAATCCTATTATAGGATAAGAAATCTGTTCAGAATAAAAACAAACACAGGGGTTTAAGATTAGGAAGTTTTCTTCCCGTCCTGCTTTGGTAACTTAGTCATACATGCTCCTGTGCAGGCCGAGAGCTCCTTACAGCCCGAGGCCAGATCGAGGTTTGATTATGGATCAGCTATCGGAGGCCTGTCCATGAAGGTGGTAATCTTACATCAGCACAGCCTTACACACATTGATCAAAATGTATCATGTCCATATCCCCAGTAATTACACAATTAACATTATCAGACGCCTAGACCACTGCTCCTTATTATCTATATAATCTCCCGTCTAATCACACTGATATTCTTGGAATGCTGTATTATTTTCTCAATCACACTCATATTTTACTGCAATACACACATTATTCAGTATAACTATAGTAACCACTGGACAACACAAAATTGGATAAAATAACGAAACTTTTCCTATCAGTAATTAAACAGTCCTTCAACTAATCAAGGAGAAAAGGTAAACATAGCACTGATGAAACACACATTCCAGACCGTAACAATTCTTATGCAAATGAGACCTAAATCACTCAGGCAAAACACTGTAATGTTTTCTTTTTTTTAGGATATCATCCTGGGATTTTTCTTTCACATTGTGTACAAATGGAACACACAATCCCCTACCTTGCAAAGAGTTTGTTTGCACAGAGAACATAGAGGATTTTACTAGATAATTTCTTGATTAAATACCACCTGAATATATTTAAATATCTTCATTTAGGACACTTCTGTTTTCCCTTTAACAAAATGTTACCTGTTGAGACAGAAATAGAGTCTGATGTTACTGATAATAAACAATCCCATGGTAAGAGTTCACCTATATACAATATATCTGTTTTATGATTTGATATATATATCAAATATAAATTATGTTGTTTTTGTACAGTACACTAACATTACCAGTATAATACCAATGTTCACAATTTCAGGTTATAAAGTGAATTGGACAGTGTTAGACTGTTAGTGTAAGCGGCGATTGTGTCTGTGTGATGAAACAAACAAGTTGAAATAACACCTCAAGAAACAATGTAAATAATGATTGTGACAGGGGAACAACTGCACTAGTATCTCAAGGTTTTACATGTTGTTTGATACAACAAAAAAATTGCAAAGAGATGTTAACACAACTATACATGTACTTCTTAGTGGAATAACTGTATGAACATAGTGTTATAAAAATATTAACTAAGAAGAAGCTTGAAAATAACTTAAAACTATTGCGATTTTACATTTACTTATACAACCAGAAGTCTCTGTCGAGACTGTAGCTCTACTGGTTTGTACTATTACAAAGGATGAGAAAAGAAGCCATTGCCATCAGACCACAACTGTAGAAGGAGTAGCTTTTTAAAGGAATTTCACAGACATTCATATTTTTAATGACAACATTATGGCAACACTGTTCATCAAAATCAAAAACCGATGCACTATTTTATATATCTTAGTGTAGTCTACTTGTGTGCCAAGTTATACTGAAATCAGACCAAAACTGTAAGAGGAATTGCATTTTAAAGGAATTTCACAGAAAATTATTTTTTAGTAACCATGGAAACACCGTTCATCGAAATCAAAATCTGATGCACTATTCTATGTATCTTAATGCAGACCACTTGTGTGCCAAGTCATATATTGAAATCAGACCAAAATTGTATGAGGAGTAGCGTTTTAAAGGAATTTCAAAGAAAATTCTTTTTTTAGTAGCCATGGAAACACTGTTCATCGAAATAAAAAACGATGCACTATTTTATGTATCTTTGTGTAGTCTACTTGTGTGCCAAATAATATTGAAATCAGATCAAAATTGTAGGAGGAGTAGCGTTTTAAAGGAATTTCAAATAAAATTCTATTTTTAGTAACCATGGCAACACCATTCATCGAAATCAAAATCCGATGCACTATTCTATGCATCTTTGTGTAGTCTACTTGTGTGCTAGGTTATATTGAAATCAGATCAAAATTGTAAGAGGAGTAGTGTTTTAAAGGAATTTCACAGAAAATTCTATTTTTAGTAACCATGGCTACACCGTTCAACGAAATCAAAAACCAATGCAATATTTTATGTATCTTAGTGTAGTCTACTTGTATGCCAAGTTATATTGAAATCAGATCAAAACTGTAGGAGGAGTAGCATTTTAAAGGAATTTCACAGAAAATTCTATTTTTAGTAACCATGGCAACACCGTTCATCGAAATCAAAAAACGATGCACTATTTTATGTATCTTAGTGTAGTCTACTTGTATGCCAAGTTATATTGAAATCAGATCATAACTGTAGGAGGAGTAGCATTTTAAAGGAATATCACAGAAAATTTTATTTTTAGTAACCATGGCAACACCGTTCATCGAAATCAAAATCCGATGCACTATTTTATGTATCTTTGTGTAGTGTACTTGTGTGCCAAGTTATATTAAAATTAGACCAAAACTGTAGGAGGAGTAGCGTTTTGAAAAATTGTTTACAGACAGACGGACAGACAGACAGACAGAAGGACGGACGACGGACACCTTACTATCGCATAAGCTCTTCTGGTCTCTGACCAGTAGAGCTAAAAATGCTATCCCGTGATTCCCTGCATTTTGTCACGAGTAAACTAAATTCAGAAGTCAATGAGTGTTTTATTCAGTAATCACATATTTCATGTTTTTCATACTTTAGTTCTACAAAATAACAAGTTATATCCTGTCTCCAGAAAACATTATTTTTTTTTTCAAATATTGTAAAAAAAATGGGTTTCTTTTAAAATGTGAATGTCCCACAAAAATGAAGATCAAACAGCTATATCCAGTTCAGGGAGGATTGTGGGTATCAATGTTGATAAATTTTATGGGATGAAATCACAAGTCCAAATTTTCACTTTGTCTAGGTGTTTCTTTAATACGTTCCTCACAGTGGTGAGTGCAAGCAGTTCTTTTAAGCATTTGCAAAACTGATATGAAACGATTTTTGACAACTGTATACAAATATAGTATGCATTATGGGTAGAAAATTTGCGAGTATTCTAATACTAACAAATTCTATAGGCAAGTGATACAAAAAAGATTTGTTGAGGTTAACCTATCTCAATCTTTTGCCTCCATAATTTTTGT